ATAAGTGTCATGACTGATTTCAAGTTTGTAATGTCTTGGTTAAGGTAGCACGGTAGTATTTGCATTCCAGTATTTAGGTTGCTCTTTTGTGTACCCTACCTAAGTCAATGTATCTGAACAGTGTGATTGGACAAAAAATACAGTATCAACTGAACATACTTTCCCAAACTGAGGGATGAATCAGGTGTAGAAAAATATGAAATAATTTTACATACAGATGAAAATGAATTTTTGAGATTTTTTTTTAATTTTGTATTCACTGCACGATAAAAGACCTAAAAGCACTAGTGGCCTTAGATTTTTAAAAATAGCAAAAAAAGTAAACGGTCATGATACACATTCAAATTCATTTCTGAATAGTAAAATGAAAGTACTTCAGTTAACTGTGAATGTAGAATTTTTTGCAGTGTTAGAAAGTGGTGAAAATTCTAAAAAGGCTATCATTATCCCTTATGGGCCAGGAAATACTACCGTGCCACCTATTATATAGGACGATTTATTAGTAAATTAAAATATACGGAAAAGCACTGTTATATTTCCGGAAAATTGTACATTGTAATTTATACTTATATACTTATGTTTATAGCATTAGTATCAATAGGTAAGTCTAAACCTATTATTTATGTATTTAGGGCTTCTACGGGAAAAGCTGTATCCTTAAAAGATTTATACGGCTTTAATGAAATAAAGTATATGTTTAAAAAAAAAAAAAACAAAAAAAAAAAGAACATTACGATCGGATGATACCAAAAGTCTTTATTCCTTATAAATATTTCAGACTTTTCAATTACCCTTAAAGGACATATTCATGTAAGTACTTCATATCTTATAGAATCTATAGAAATAATCAGTCTAGGACGGGGCTTCGGTGGCCGGGTGCTCTAAGTAGTCTGATATTGTTTTAATTGGCTATATGTAACTGTTTGTTTGTGACACAATGTACTGTCTGGTAAATCTTTATTGTACACATTAATAAAAGTTTATCAAGAAAAAAAAAAGTAGTCCAACTACTGTATCACTAGCCTGTCAACACTGCAGTTGTAAGTACCAATCCCGCATGTGGCAGGTGCGTTTGACTCCAATCTTAGTTAACTATGATTGTCAGTTTTCCTACCGAAGGCCGGTTGTTCTCTCCTTGGCACTTTGGCTTCCTTCACCACTAAACACTGACCTACACGAAACAGTCAATAGTGCTAAAATTTGCGTTAAACACAAATCAATCAATTAAACGTTCTAAAACAACAATGTTAAAGACTAGTGAAAATATTACAATTTGTTCAAATTTGTTTAACAATAAACTATTCAACAATAAACTATTCAACGTATAGTCACATCTAAAAAATGTCGAAGCAACTTACAGTAGACATCCGAAAATTACAAGAAGAAAAAAACACATGCCTGTTGTCCACAGTAGCAAAATAACATGTCACTCATTAATACCTAATCATGCATATAGTATATGTTTATTCATTTTTTACCACCTGCTTATTGACTTTCCTTACTGTATATATGATATGTTGATTTGTTGAATATACTTGTTTATTCACATTCCTCGTAAGCCTATGAGCGCGGGGTCTTCAATTAAAATCAAATTTGAAGCTTGAGCGCATTGCTTTCTTTTCTTTTTACGTCATTATAATTGCTACGGTACCATAAATTTTAGAACACTTCCCCCCTTTCTTCAATTTTGTTTACTTTCACTGTCTCCTCGAGCATTTTGGTTGAAAACGTCGCATTTCCGCACGCTTTATTTGATTGGCACGATTTGACGTCAGGCACTTGCAAAATAAATGTAAATGTCATAACATTTTTTTCTGCTTTTTATACCAAGTCTAATTTTGGCTGGATTACAAAGTAACTAGAGGCTCTAAAGAGCCTGTGTCGCTCACCTTGGTCTATGTGCATATTAAACAAAGGACACAGATGGATTCATGACAAAATTGTGTTTTGGTGATGGTGATGTGTTTGTAGATCTTACTTTACTGAACATTCTTGCTCCTTACTATTATCTCTATCTATAATGAACTTGGCCCGGTAGTTACAGTGGAAAATACTTTGTAAAAATTTACAAAAATTTACAAAATTTATGAAAATTGTAAAAAATTGCCAATAAAGGGCAATAACTCCTTAAGGGGTCAATTGACAATTTTGGTCATGTTGCCTTATTTGTAGATCTACATTTGCTGTACATTATTGCTGTTTACAGTTTATCTCTATCTATAATAATATTCAAGATAATAACCAAAAGCTGCAAAATTTTCTTAAAATTACCAATTCAGGGGCAGCAACCCAACAACGTGTTGCCTGATTGGTCTGAAAATTTCAGGGCAGATAAATCTTGACCTAATGAACAAAATCATCAGATTTGCTCTAAATGCTTTGGTTTCAGAGATATGAGCCAAAAACTGCATTTTACCCTATGTACTATTTTTTAGCCATGTCGGCCATCTTGGTTCGCGGGCGGGGTCATCGGACACATTTTTTAAACTAGATACCCTTATAATGATTGTGGACAAGTTTGGTTAAATTTGTCTCAGTAGTTTCAGAGGAGAAGATTTTTGTAAAAGATTACAAAAATTTACGAAAAATGGTTAAAAATTGATTATAAAGGGCAATAACTCCTTAAGAGGTCAACTGACCATTTTGGTCAAGTTGACTTATTTGTAGATCTTACTTTGCTGAACATTATTGCTGTTTACAGTTTTTCTCTATCTATAATAATATTCAAGATAATAACCAAAAAGGGCAAAATTTCCTTAAAATTACCAATTCAGGGGCAGCAACCCAACTACGGGTTGTCCGATTCATCTGAAAATTTCAGGGCAGATAGATCTTGACCTGATAACCAATTTTACACCGTCAGATTTGCTCTAAATGCTAAATGAAATATAAGCCAAAAACTGCATTTTACCCCTATGTTCTATTTTTAGCCATGGCGGCCATCTTGGTTGGCAGGCGGGTTCATCGGACACATTTTTAAAACTAGATACCCAAATGATGATTGTGGCCAAGTTTGGTTAAATTTGGCCTAGTAGTTTCAGAGGAGAAGATTTTTGTAAAAGTTAACGGACGACGACGACGGACGACGACGGACGACGGACGACGACGGACGACGGACGCCAAGTGATGAGAAAAGCTCACTTGGCCCTTTGGGCCAGATGAGCTAAAAAGGGGAAAAGCTTCCTGTAAAATTCAATAACTGTTTTATAATATATATTTTTTAAGTGCACGTATACATGTACATATAATTAATATGGAAGGTGATGTACCTGTTCCATAAACTGATTTGTTGACAACAGGGAGACATGTTTTTTTTTCCATCCACACAAGTGCCACTAAGTTCTGACATACAATCCTTGCTCCAATCTGATAGGAAGGTTCTTCAGCTCTTCTGGAAACTGCCTACGATTCTTTCAGCAATATCGCTTCATTCTTCATTTCAAAATGAATTTCATGAATTGTAACATACATAATGACACACGTTTCCACAATAAAGTGCACACGTCAGGTAAATAAAAGAAAAAAAATGATAGTAATCGTGTTTTCATGATCATGGCGGGAAAATGTAATTATAAGTATTGAAAAATGCTTCTTTTAGTAATTTCATAGGGTTGTAAAAGCGTTGACCGTGCGCTCATTTTTAGAATGAAGCGCTTCCGCACTTCATACAAAATGTACTTCGGTCAACGCTTTTACATCCCAATGAATTTACAAAAAAAGCATTCAATTCTTTAATAACTTCTCAATGTTATATCAGAAATTTGTAAAAATCGTAAGGGAGCTTACGTCAATAGATATATCACAATTCACCAAAGTTTCATGAGAACTGCTGAAAGTATTTTTGAGTTATTATCCTAAAACTGGATAATCACCCCTTTTTAATGAATTAAACCCAATAACTCAGAAATGTAAAATCTAAATTTTACAAAAATTGAATGGGAGTTTACATCAGTAGATATAATCTATTCACCAAAGTTGCACAAGACCTGCTGAAAGCTTTTTTGAGTTAGTGTCCGAAAACTGGAAAATGCCCCTTTCTTTTAATGAATAAAACCCTGTAAATCAGAAACGTAAAAATCTAAAATTTATAAAATTCGAAAGGGAGCTCACATCAATAGATATAAACAATTCTCCAAAGTTTTATGCAAATTGGTTAAAGCGCTTTTGAGTTAATGTCCGACATGTTGACGACGGACGGACAGACGGTATACCTATGACGGCAAGCTATGAAGGACCCCAAAATGACTAGTGTGAAACCATTCAAACAGGAAAAAAACAATAGTCCAATCTATATACAAAACGAGAAAGGAAAAACACCTAGGTAAAGCCTATCGATCTCTTGATATAGGCTCTTAAATTCAGCACGTTTTAGAGATTTTTTGAAAATACGATGTTTTCATTTTTTTTTTTTGCCTTGTTCGAAAATTAAACATGACCAAATATAATTAAATAAACTAAAAATTTGATAAACAAATGTTTTCTTGTTGTCAGATCAAAATACATTTAACAAGCCAGTGCATTGATACCGATTAAATTCTATTGAATTTATTATATCGATAATTTTACATTTGTTGCTATTACGTAATATATATATATATATAAGTCCTGTGTCCAGGTGAGAAAGAAACAACAGATGGTATGTATACTAAAATGTTTATCGTCTTCTATTATACATGAGGGTGTGGATGGGGGTTTACAGAATAAAAAATAATTGACAAAAAAAATAAAGAATAGAGAAAATAACCAAACAAATATAGAAAAGAGAATGATGAGGTTCTAGAATATAAGGAATAAAGAATGATGGGCAAAAAGTATAACGAATAGAAAAAATGTCCTAAAAATAATAGAATACAGAAATAATGAACCCCTATCCAGATCCTCATAATCTGAAGATGACATTTAGCTTTAGGGCAATTATGGGCATGCGAATCAGTTTTAAACCCACAGTGATTTTTAAAGGCAGTGCTTTAATGCCTTTCTAGTCGCCCAGCCCCCCCCCCCCCCCCCCCCCCCTCCTAAATCTGCCCCTGACATGTATGACACAGCTGTTACCACTGAAATAAAACTAAGTCATTTCCAATTGTTTGAGCATCAAAAGCTAAATGTGAAATTTTGAGACACATTTTCAACATAACATAACATTGTACAAATATTGGTATTTATTCTGAGATTAATACAAAGGTTCTCCTTAAATATCAAATTAATTGGTATTTAAATCAATGAAATGATATTGTATATAAAGTGTTATGAGAATAATCATAAAAATAAGAAGATGTGGTATGATTGTGGTATGAATGCTTAAAAAACAACTCTCCATCAGAGACCAAATGATGTAGAAATTAACAACTTAAGGTCAACAAACAGCCTTCAACAATGAGCAAAACCCATAAGGCATAACCATGCAGCTCTAAAATGTCCAGAAATTACAAATGTATATCAATTCAAACGGGAAAACTAACCTGATGTGTGTACGAAACAAAGAGTTATATGTAATCAGGTAGTATTAATTTAAAATATAATTGCTATACTGTTTTTGTGATGACATTTTTCATGTGAATAATCTAAAACCATCAAAAAACATGATGGGTTCAACTGAAATAGTCTCACTCCAATATAACAGCAAAATAAGTAACTAGTTCTACTGAGAGGAAAAGTTTGTGGAAAAAATACATTTCAATTATATAGATTGAAGTTGAACTATAGTTGGTTTCTACAAAATGTAATTTTTGTTTCATAAAATGCTTTCTTATATGTAGGAATGATACATGCTGGCTTAGGATATGCACAAATAAGAAACTTTCTGACAGAATGTAACTTGCCAGTCATGAGTAAGTCTTGTTTCCAAAAACATGAGAAGAAAATTGGAAAAATCTTTGTATCTGCTGCTGAAGAATCCTGCAAGAAAGCTCAACAACTGGAAAAAGAAATTTCTACAGATAAGGTAATACTATATGATATATTTGACTTATTTTAATCTACTTCTGGACCTCTTTCAAATATGACTTATATATGTATATATATATACATGTGTATATATATATATATATATATATACTTCCGCAAATTTACAGATCTAACATTATTGGGCTGTTCGTTTAGACGAATTATATATATACATATACCGGTATATATATATATATATATATATATAAAATTAAGAAGATGTGGTATGATTGCCAATGAGACACAACTCTGCAAGAGACCAAATTACACAGGAATTAACAACTATGGGTCACCCAACGGCCTTCAACAATGAGCAAAGCCTAAACTGCATAGTCAGCTATAAAAGGCCCCAAAATCACAAAACTTGTCCTAAAGGTACAGATAAAATATTAACACAATTTGTAATTAGGGCTACATAAACATGGAAAAAGCATCATTTTCTGAATTGAATGAAAAGTAATTTACATTTACAATTAAAAATATAACTTCTCCAACAATTAAAAACATAAGAAGTCAAAAGAACAATCTTACATATGTCCATCTATAAATCAAAATAAAAAATAAATCAATAGAATTATATATATATATGTTGTGTACAAGATGTAATTTTGTACAAATTATAATGTGTACAGGGTTTTTGTACAATTTATAAGTTTTTTGACACATACCTTTTTGCACCAGGTGATAAAAGTTTATCTTCTAAAATGTATCAGTTTCATGTCTTCAATTCAAATTTATATACTCCAACCTTAAATTTAGTGCTATTCTCTTTGTCCTCAAACTGGAAATAAGGACACCTGAATGGTTTAAATTCTATTTTTATTTTTCTCCTTATACCAAAATCATATCCATGAAAAGTCTTTTTGTGTTCTTATAATGTTTTTTGTATCAATGCTCAGTATTGAACTGTATCATGTAGTCATGGAAATATGAAAGAAATATGCGAAACAAAAAACTGTGTGCTTGCATCATCCATTTGTGTTAAGCAGTTCATAAAACACTAACATGACTAATAACTTGTACAAAAATTCTGTACAAATTATAATTAATTTGTACAACATTACAATTTGTACACAACATATATATATGTTGTATACCAATTATAATTTGCACAGAATTTTGTACAAATTATTGGGTTTCATTGAACTGCTTAATGCAAATGGATGATACAATCACAGTCTTTTGTTTCACATACTTCTGTCATATTTCCATGACTACATGATACAATCTAATAGTTATACTGAGCATTGTTACAAAAAAACATAAGAACACAGAAATACTTTTTATGGATATGATTTCAGTATACAGAGGAAAAAAAATAGAATTTAAACCATTCAGGTGTTCTTATTTCCAGCTTTAGAACAAGGAGAATAGCACTAAATTTCAGGCTGAAGTATATAGATTTGAATTTAAAACATTAAGTTGATAAATTTTTGAAGATAAACTTTTATCACCTGGTGCAAAAAGGTATGTGTAAAAAAAAACCTGTACATCTTGTACACAACATATATATATATTTTATTTATATTGTGTTAAAACAGATCAATAAATTAATTTCAAAATGATTAATAAAATAAGTTAATCTTTTTTATGTTACGTCTTTTATAATTCTTTAAGAATTTAAATAAACAATATAAATTTTCAAATTATTCATAATTTGTTTACTACCTTATTGCGATGTCTAATTTTTATCAAATTTATGTAATTTAGGAGTTGGAGCTTGAGGTCAGTTTTGATGCAGGTTGGCAAAAACGTGGGACAGGATTCAATTACAATAGCTTAACAGGTAAACCTGCACTTTATAAACGTGCAATTTCTCGCTGCATTGAAGACCTGTTGGTGACCTTCTGCTGTTGTCTGTTCTATGGTCAGGTTGTTGTCTCTTTGACACATTCCCCATTTCCATTCTCAATTTTAAACATATTTATTTTTGTTGGTACAATTTTAATGGTGAATTTGCAACTATATTTTTGTCTAATAAGATCAAAACCTTAATAATCTAGCTATACATGCATGTACAACTACAGTACTATATAAATTACAATTAATTAATATACATACCAATCAGAATTGCATGTGATGTCTACATGTTCAATGTTTCACATAAGACTGTTACATGTATGAGAATCTCACTTAAATGTAAACAAGCTTAATAATTTAAGCCAAAGAACCTTTTTCTGATTGTTATAAACTCAATAGTGACAGATACACAAAATTTGAAGATTGATGAAAACTTCAGCCAATGTCAGTATAGTATGAATAGCTGGTAAAACTAAAAATAATGTAATGAATGTAGACCTACTAACTTACATGCACCTGAATTCAAGTTAAGAATATATAATACCTATAACCAGATGTAATAAACAAATTTTTACAATTAATTCACATTGACAAATATTTCTACTTTAAGATCAGGGACTTTCTATACTATTTTAGATTTATTGAGTTTTAGGGTTTCTTGCTGACTGATCTAAGGGTCATCTAATCCTCAATAATTTTCTATTCATATTTCAAACAAATATTTTGTCAATTGTGAACTAATAAAATGATCAGACTTTACAAGATATACATATGTGTAGGACTCTAAAGTGCGATGGGGACGCTAAAACGCGATAGTCACGCTAAAGTGCGATGGCCTACGCTAAAGTGCGATGGTTTGATACGCTAAAGTGCGATGGTCTGTGCTAATCATTTGAACACGCTAAAGTGCGTTTTTCCGCAAAAGTATCGATGTTAGCAACGTTCGACAGCATTAGGGACCGGTCATTATTTATCTCCAGGGGGGGGGCCGGCAAAATGTAAATTTGAAATGATAAAAAATGATTGACCCCCCCTTTTCAAAATGTGTTAAAAAATTTAACCCCCCCTCTTTCAACTACATAAAAACTTTTGACCCCCCTCTCTTTTCTGATTATAATTGAAAGGTTTCAAATGATTCAATTATTATATGTTGCTAATATTCCTAGTAAGGTATTTTAATACACATACACAGAGAATGCATTGAGGACGACATCCGATAGAAGAATACACTGATGTAAGGGACCGTTCAATATTTACCAGAGGGATGGGCCGGTGCATTCTTAATATTATTTCATTAAAAAAGTTAATGCCCATCCTTTTAAATTCTGCAAAAAAGTCCTTGCCCATCTAAAAAACTATAAAAAGAGTCCTTGCCCCTCTAAGACTTAAAGACAATCAAAAATGATTAAGGTTCTATTTTAATATTTGCATGTTTATGTCTGGAAATCAAAGAATAGACTTTGGTGTATAAATACAAAATTCAAAATGTGCTAGTTAATTCCACATATATATATAGTGTTATTAACATTAGCCTAAACTGAAAATTGTAGCTTCTTTTACCAATTAACTAAGTTGATTTGAAACTTTATACCAATTTTTAAAGATGACTATCTGAATTTAGTCTAAATTGAACATTTAAGATTTTTTTAACCTATTTTTTAAATCCATAAAAATGACAGCAATACACCAAAACTACCAAACAGCCTGGCATTCTGTAAGATCAACATATAAATGAGATAGCTGTAGAGTTATATGAAAATCTAAGTTGATTTGAAAAAGTTATAAAAAAATTTAAAGGTGACTATCTGAATTTAGCCTAAACTGAAAATTGTAGCTTTTTTAACCTATTAACTAAATCCATAAAAATGACAGCAATAAACCAAAGTACCAAACAACCTGGCATTCTGTAAGATCAATATGTTAATGAGATAGCTGTAGAGTTATATGAAAATCCAAGTTGATTTGAAAATGTTATAAAAAATTTTAAAGATGACTATCTGGTATTAACCTAAACTGAAAATTTAAGCTTTTTTTAACCTATTTATTAAATCTATAAAAATGATAGCAATACACTAAACTCCCAAACAACCTGGCATTCTGTAAGATCAATATATGAATGAGATAGGTGTAGAGTTTTATGAAAATCCAAGTTGATTTGAAAAACAATTTTAAAGGTGACTATCTGTATTTAGCCTAAACTGAAAATTTTAGATTTTTTTCTTACTTATTAATAAAATTTGACAGCAATACACCAAACTATCAAACAACCTGGTATTCTATAAGGTCAAAATACAATTGATATGAAAATCCAAGTGGTTTTGAAAATTTATATAAACTTTTAAAAGTGACTATCTGAAATTAGTCCGAATAGAAAATTCTAGCTTTTCTTTCCCGTTACACCATCGGACTTTAGCGTGTCATACCATCGCTCTTTAGCGTGATATCTGATCGCACTTAAAAAAAAACAACCATCGCACTTTAGCGTCTGACACCATCGCACTTTAGCGTGACCATCGCACTTTAGAGTCCTACATATGTATGCATACAAACTATATTTTTGTATATGGAATTGTAATATTTTCTTTTTCAACCAAAATTTGTAATTTCATATTGAATTTCAGGACATGCTTCAATGATAGGAAAACAAACAGGGAAAGTGACCTGCTATGATATAAGAAGCAAAAGCTGTAAATTTTGTGAGCATCATGAGGGAAAGAATGAAACAGTTCTAAGTCATGACTGTTGTAGAAATTGGTATGGGTCTAGTAAGTCTATGGAACCAGATATGGCTGTTTCCATGGCACATAAGATGACTGATAATGAATGCCCAATTGACGTCATTCATGCTGACAATGATTCAACTACCATGTTGAAACTGAAAATGGACTTTGAAAACTTGAAAAAAAAGGATGACCAAAATCATACTACAAAAGGAATAACAAAATCACTGATTGAATTGTCTAAAAGGTAATAAAAGTTATGTTTTCAGTCATAATTTTTTTTGGGCTCTAGCCTTACCTATGAGGATCTAGATGGGGGGGGTTCTTCATTTCTGTATTCTTTAATTTTGTATGCTATTTTCTCTTTTCTTTAAACTTATGTCCATTTTTCTCTGATCTTTATATTTTAGCACCTCATTATTCCCTATTCTTTTTTTCTTTTTTTGCCCATAATTTTCTATTCTGTAAACCCTCATCCACACCCTCACCTATGTCAAGCAAATAACGTTATAACATTTATTGTTGAGAACTTCATGCATAATTGTTAATGTTCACTGGATTGGTACTTGATTGTCTTGAATAAGCAACACAACAGGTTCCAAAAGTGGATCAGGAACTGCTTAATAAAACAGAGCACCCTTTTTTTATTTATTTTTTTTTTGGGGAAGGGGGGTCTAAAAAATTTTAGGTTCACTCAATATAAGATAAAAGATAGATTTAACATCCCCATGCAGCTGTAGTCAGATTAACTTGAAACTTAGTACCAATTATGATTTGAACTTTTTAAAAGATATACAAAATCAAAGTTTAGACACTGATTTTCAGTTTCAACTTATGTAATGATAAAAAATATAATTTTGTAGGCACAAGGAGCTGAAGTAATTCCCTATCTGAACAGATGTTTCATGTATGCAATTACACAGAACAGCAGCAGTGATCTTAAAATTGATGAGGGTCTTTCGAGAATTGTTCCCCATGTCTTTGGAGATCATGGATTGTGTGGTGCAGTAGACTGGTGTACATTTAAAGATGATCCTATATCTTTCAAGTATGCATGACCTAAAGATGATTTTTATGGTTCTTTTTAAATTGTAACTTTGCTGTCTCATTCATATCTAACCACATTTCCCTTTTCCGGAAAACATTGAGACAAATCAAAGAAGATGATAAACAAAAATGAGTTCATAAAAAAAAATACTATAATAATATATAGTTATAGTTCAATTGTACAAGAAACAATGCTAATATTGATAAATATGGAAACTGTCATTGTAAGCACATTTTTACCTAGTCATATGTAATAAAAAAAAGAGACTTATATTCTGGTCAGCAATAACACATAACTAGAGGCTCTAAAGAGCCTGTGTCGCTCACCTTGGTCTATATGCATTTCAAACAAAGGACACTCTCCAACATTGTAGACGAGAATAGACTTCATGACAAAAATCTCTATTTTGTTGATCTTGTATTACTGATCTTTTAGTCTGTTTTAGTTTCTCTCTATCTTCTTTAGTTTTTGCTCATAACACAAAAGAGGGTAAAAAAAATCCTCATTTAAGGGCAATCGCTCCTATGAAGAGTGACTGAGTCTACTACCTATATCGGCAAAATTTGACTTTTTAATAGATCTTGCCTTGCTGATCATTTTTGTTGAGCCTGCGACTTTTGTCGCAAAAGCAAGACATAGCGATCCTACATTCCGTCGATGGCAGCGTCCACAAATATTCACCCTGTGGTTAAAGTTTTTGAAATTTTAATAACTTTCTTAAACTATCCTGGATTTCTACCAAACTTGGACAGAAGCTTGTTAATGATCATAAGCTAGTATCTAGAATCTAGAAGAAAATTTTGTAAAAAAAAAATCCTGTTTATCCGTATTTTACTATTAAATGGACTTAGTTTTTGCTGCCAGTAAACATTACATTCACTCTGTGGTTAAAGTTTTTAAAATTTTAATAACTTTCTTAAACTATCCTGAATTTCTACCAAACTTGGACAGAAGCTTGTTTATGATCAAAAGCTAGTATCTAGAAGAAAATTTTGTAAAAATTTATTTCCTGTTTTTCCGTATATTACTTATAAATGGACTTAGTTTTTCTTCCAGTTAACATTACATAAAGTCTGCGGTTAAAGTTTTTAAAACATTTATTAGATTCATAACCAATCCTGGATTTTTACCAAACTTGGATAGAAGCTTCTTACAGTCAAAAGATAGTATCTAGAGGAAAATTTTTAATAATTTTTTCCCCATTTTTGTTGAGCCTGCGACTAACAGCAAAAGTAGGCGAGATACTGGGTTCCGCGGAACCCTTGTAAACGAATTTTTGTGATTTAAAGTGTTTATTTATCTACTATAATTAAAATCATATAAAGGCATAACAGAAAAAAAATTTTCTCTCTAAATATCATAGTTTTCATGATAAAAGACAAAAATGAAAAAAATGGTAAAATTTGTCATTTATGGGCAATATATATATAACCCCTATAAAAATTTGTCTAACAGTTTTGACGTATATGGATAATTGGTAGAGCTCATTATTCTGAACATGTTTGCTCCTTTCAGATTTTCCCTATTTATAACAGTTCAAAAAATTATACACAAAACTTGCATTTTACCCCTATGTTCTATTTTTAGACATGTCACCATCGGTCATGTTGACTGGTAGGTGGGGTCATCGGACACATTTTTTAAACTAGATACCCTAATGATGATCGTGGCCAAGTTTGGTTAAATTTGTCTCTGTATAGTTTCAGAGAAGATTTTTGTAAAAGATTATAAAATTTACAAAAAATTGTTAAAAATGGACTATAAGGGGCAATAACTCCTTAAGGGGTCAATTGACCATTTTGGTCATGTTGACTTATTAGTAGATCTTACTTTGCTGAACATTATTGCTGTTTACAGTTTATCTCTTTCTATAATAATATTGAAGATATAAACCAATAAAATGCTTCCCTGAGCACAGCTGGATATGACCGCAGAGGTCCAACCCTGAACAGTTGGGGCAAAAATGGACACAATATTCGGGCTTGATACAGGTCTGAAATTGGATTGTAAATAAATATTTGACACATAACAGGTTTCTGACACCGAAAAACTGGAGTCAAAGAACTTAGAATTGGTTATGTGATTTGAATTTATATTCAATTTTTTGTTTTTGTGCAATACACTATGCTGTTGTGAAATTGACCCCAAAAAAAAAATTACCTCCCTTTTTTTTGCTTTTGTGAAATACACTATGCTGTTGCATATTGACCCCCCCCGAAAAAAAATTACCCCCCCCCCCCAAAAAAAAAAAATTTACCCCCCCCCCCCCCCTTTTTTTTGCAAAAAGAAATACTATTTGAAAAAATTTCTTTTTAATTTCTGTAATCTGAAATGAAAAAAAAAATTGCCCCCACAATTTCTTTTTTACCCCCCCTCCCCCCTTAATTTTTTTTTTCACCTCCCCCCCCCCCCCCTTTTTCAAAAAAAAATGTTTTTCCCTCAAAATATGGTCATAATCTCAATTCAAATTACCAATGGAGTTTGCAACCATAATTATCAATTTAAATACATCATAAAAGTCTTAAAATAGAAAAAAAAATCCCCCCCCCCCAAATTTTTTGAACCCCCTTATGATTCATCACCCCCAAACTCAATCCCAGCCTTCCCTTTGTGGTATGGTACCTTTCAGTACAATTTCAGACAGATCCATACACTTGAACACAAGTTATTGTCTGGAAACTAGAAAAATGCTTGTTTTTGGCCCCTTATTCCTAAACGTTTAAGACTATTACCCCCATTTCCCTTTGTGATATGGAACCTTGTAGTACAATTTTAGAAAGATCCATACACTGACACACAAGTTATTGTCATGAAACTAGAAAAATGCTTGTTTTTGCCCCTTTTTGGCCCCTAATTCCTAAAATTTTGAGGCAATTACCCCCAAAATCAATCCCAGCATTCCCTTTGTGATATGGAACCATGTGGTACAATGTCAGAGAAATCCATACAATAACACACAAGTAATTGTCTGGAAATTACAAAAATGCTTATTTTTGGCCCCCTTTTGGCCCCTAATTCCTTAACTGTTGGTACCATAACCCCCAAAATCAATCCCAACCTTCTTTTTGTGGTATTGAACCTTATGGTAAAATTTCATAGAGATCCATTCACTTTAACTAAAGTTATTGTGCGAAAACCAATGTGTCTTCGGCAGACGCCAACGTCATACCAATATACGACTGCAAAAATGTTTTGTGGTCGTATAAAAACTGCAAAGTTTTCTTAAAATTACCAATTGGGTGGCAGCAACACAACAATGGGTTATCTGATTCGTCTGAAAATTTTACAGCAGAGAGATCTTGACCTAATGAACAATTTTACCCTAGTCTGATTTGCTCTAAATGCTTTGGTTTAGAGATATAAGCCAAAATCTACATTTTACCCCTATGTTCTATTTTTAGCCATGCTGGCCATCTTGGTTGGCGGGCCGGGTCATCGGACTCATTTTTTAAACTAGATACGCCAATGATGTTTGTGGCAAAGTTTGGTTTACTTTGACCGAGTAGTTTCAGAGGAGAATATTTTTGTAAAAGTTAAGGACGACGGACGCCAAGTGATGTGAACAGGTATCTCCCCTAAAAATGTATATATATATTCTTCAATTATCAATGTTACTTTAAAATGACAAATGTCAGCTTAATCTGTTAATATAAGGGCAGATATCCAATGCAATAAACAGTTTATATTCATGAATATAAACCAGGTTGAACACATTAAAGGTTAACAGTAATAATTTAGTAATTGTATAGCTTAATTAAATTAGTTTAAAATTCCAAGATTTTTTTTTTATGTAGATATAAAAGCCTTCCTAATGGAAAGCCTTTGATTAGTGAAGATTTGAGGAGAGATCTAGAGAATCTTATAGAGAAATATAAAAGCAAGGCATCTTCACTAAGAAATTTAGGATCCACACAGGCTAATGAGAGCTTCAACCATTCTGTAGCAACAAAGGCTCCGAAGTCCAAGTGAGTAAAATTTCTACAATATTGTTAAAGTGGATCATCGGTATATATTTCCTAAGATAGAATTTTCTTATACTTTGCCAAGATGAAGATTTTACTATGCTTTTTTCAAAAATATAATAAAAAGTATGGGTCACCGTGCTATTTTTCAAGCTACAAGTTGTGGTAAATTGCCCAAATTTGTAAAGATTGTTCATGAAAAAACATATTTTTGTATATAAAAAGAAATCTATGAGATAGAATTTTGAAATGAAATATGAGGAGATAGGCATTATAAAATGCTTTAAGAAAATAAAAAGTAAAAATGGGGTCACCGAACTTGTTTTCTTGCTAGAAGTAAACAAAACAAATATTTCACTATCATTCCAGTCTAAAATTTTTACTATAACAGGTATCTCCCCTTAAATGGCTAAGTTGATAAAATCAATTCTAAAAAACACAAATATTTGTCATTTGTTTTAACATTTAAAATAATGCAATTAATCACTTATTTTCTGTATACAAATAAACAGCCTTACACATGAATTGCAAATCTGTCTCAAAATTAGCAGATTAAGACAAAGAACTAGACTGATAGTGTACTGCTACTGTACAATCCAAGATGGCGGTATACAACGAATCTACCTTAAGTTGAAAATCAACATTATACATTTTTGTTATGTTTTCATTATGAGTCTGATTATGACAGGAAGAACAAAAAATTAATGTTCCTATTTTGAAAACTAACTGTGTGCAGCAAAAATTACACCAGATTTCTTTGTAATCTTGAATGGAACATTAGATCAAATCCATGAAGTAAACACCCATAAACTTTATAGCTTTTATTGTTTTACTGTTTTACATTTGGTATAATGACTCAAAAAAATAAGGAGATGTGCTATGATTGCCAATGAAACAACTATCCACCAAAGCTCTAATGAGGTTGATATAAGCAAAAATAAGCAACAATATGTACAGCCTTCAACAATGAAAAAAAAACTACTATATTGTATATAGATCGACTTTATAATATTTTTCATTTTCAGCCATTAACATTATTTACTTACACCACACATTGCCTGCTGTGCTGAGCAGATAAACTACTATTAGGGGTTGTTTTAACAACTTTGACTACCCATGAGGGTCTCCCATGGTCAATAGGTAGATAAAGTAGGAAGGAAGTCATCAATGCATTTGTGTACTAATTATATATTGTATGATTGGGACAAAGGAAAGGTTTAAATTTTTTATCCTTTCAATAATACATGTTATCTCAAAAATTTATTTGTACAAACATAACATGTTTGACTGTAAGAAAACATATAGGTTACTTATATTTCAGACACTATGGTGGTTCACAATCCCTAGCAAGTAGAGTGTCATCGGCTGTGCTTCAAAAGAATGAGGGTTACAATTACTTAGAACAGGTAAATGTGAATTTTTGGAGGTTTTGATAATCCTTTATACAATTAGATTATGGTATGTCAATATGTCAGTAAATTAAGAACAGCCATTAGGGCCTTTTATAGCCGACTATACAGAATGTGTTGTTCTCATTGTTGACAACCGTAAGGTTGCCTATAATTGCTTACATCCACTTCATTTGAACTTTGGTGGATGGTTGTCTCATTGGCAATCATACCACATCTCCTTATTTTCACAGGTGATGCAAGTGGAAAACAATGCATTTAAAAAATATTATAATCAAAATTAACTCTGTGAAAAAAATGTGTATTTACAATACTGTGGATTCATTTATTTTCGTGGATTAAGGAAAACTAACATGTTCGTGGATATTTAATGTCGTGGTTTTGTTGAAGTCTGCATACAAGCCTTTAGAAAATTTGTTATTTGTTCAACATTTAATTTCGTGGTTCACCTGTACCCACGAAATCCTTGAAAATTGGTATCCAACGAATAATAATGAATCCACAGCAAGTAGTTTTTGGGTAATTGAATTTTCAAATTTTAATACCAATCAAGTCAGTCTCATCAGCCAAAATGTTGGGAAAATGGGTGAGGGATACAAGAAATGATTTTACCATAAACATGTACATTCCATATAATTTTGTTCTTTTCAAATTTCTTAGATGTGTATTTTTTCAATCATTTATAACAAAGAAGTTGAAATATTATGCTTTTTGTCAAAAATTACACGAAAAAGCAACAAAATTTTACAAAAACTTTCTTATATTAACATCTACCTACAGTTTTTTTAAGTTCGATTTATTCCGATTGGTCCCCTTCATCTTTATTGAAAGTATTAAAAAAAGTTTAAGTGTGCAACTGATTTCTTCCATGATAATAGCCCAAAAATGGGTAAAAATTGATGAAAAATGGGAAAATCATCAGAATTGGGTACTTTCAAATGGCCATAGCAAAAAAAGAAGTGCACCACCATATGATTTTTTCTTCACCAATTTTTTTTTTACAGTCCTATAAACCCAAAAATCAGGTTAACTTGTAAATGAAATTTTAACAGTTGAATGTTTCTTTTTGTTTTTAATTATAGAATTGACATAAATATTTGTGATATTTCAATGATATTTGGTATGCAGTTGTATTAGCATTGGCACATCTTCTTATCACAGACATTATTTGGCCCTGTCCCCTCAGTCATGGTCTATTAACTTTGAAACTTTTGCTTAGTTTACATGTATTAGTTTGTGATTAGGTCAGTTCAAGGGGAACCATTTGTGGTAGGCCAATGTTTGTTGGTCTGAAGTTGTATAAGGATTAGCTCATCTCATTTTCATGGAGAATATTTGGCCCTGCCCCCTCATTCATGGTCTTTTGACTTTAATACTTTGACTTAGTTTACATGTATTAGTTTGTGATCAGTTTAAGGTGAATCCCTAATGTTAAGTCAATGATATTTGGTATGCAAATTTACTGGCAATTGCAAGTTTCGTTTCTATGGAGATTATATAGCCCCCACCCCCTTATCATAACTCTCATGTTAAAGTATTGCTTTTTTAATTTCAACATTTGCATTACCAAAATTACAAAAAAGGCAAGACATATCTCTGTGTTAAATTTTACATCATAATATTTCAGATGAATGAAGCTGCACTTCTATCTCCAGGAGAATACACAAAAAGTATTGCAAAGAAACTGGATACAGAGAAACTGAAAAGAAGGATTAAAAGGCGAAGTCGTGAGTTCAAGAAAAAAAGAACTGAACTAAAGAAAAAAAGGAATAAGAAAGAAAGGCGATTCACTATCCATGAATCTGTTTCATATCAACCAGAAATTGCAACGATAGGATTATCAGATACTGAGGCCGTAACTATTCCATCGCCATTGAAACTGGACGGAACAGAATCATTTACATTTTTTGATCTTGAAACGACAGGTTTAAGCAGAGTTAGTGATATTACTCAGATAGCAGCTGTTTATGATAAGACACTATATCAATCTTACATTTTACCAAGATGTGATATTTCTGTTGAAGCCTCAAAAGTAACAGGAATTACCTGCTGTTTGGCTAAGAATAAAATGTATGTTCATGGGAAGGAAGTGGAAACCAAATCCCAGTATGAAGCATTGTTAGATTTTATTGAATTTTTAAAAACAATTCAAAATCCACTCCTTGTTGGACATAACATCTGTAATTTTGACATTGCAATACTCTCAAACAAATTGAAAGAATTCAGCTTATTTTCTTCTTTTTGTAATGTTACTTCTGGATTTCTGGACACACTTAAAATAGCTAAAAGAATTTTCCCCCGAAATGAAGTAGACAATTACAAACAATCAACTCTTATTTTAAAGTATGTTGGGTTGGAATACAGTGCACACAATGCCATAGAAGATGTACAGTCTCTTCAACATCTCTTTCACCAAGAAATGAAGAATAAATGTAAAGATAATGATATTCATAGCATTTGCTATTGTAGTTGCAAATCTTCATATGATAATTTAGTTCAAAACAAAACTGTAAGCAGAGACACTTGCATTAGACTTGCAAAAAATGGCATATCTTTATCACACTTACAGATAGCTAACAGAAGAGATGCAAATGGAATAAGATTATTGTTACAAGAGTTTAACATTCCTTCCAAAACTGCCTCTGTATTCGTTGCTGCTTTTGCAACTGAACAGTAAATTTTATAGTCATGACAAAAGAAATTTCCGTTGCAGGAATACTGTTCTTAGATTAAAATGCACATAATGTTTTATCTTGTCAAATTGTACACCATCAAGTATACAATGTATTTATATTGTGTTTTGTCTTGGAAAGATATTGGTAATTCTATTTTATGGATTTTATAAAAGTTACCTTTTCTGATTTAAGAATGAAACTTTAATATCAGTCAGAGCTCTGACATAAACAAGTCAGAATAAAATGACTTCTTCAAGTCAGAAAGTGTTTTGAAATTCTGACCTGTACGCGTCAATTTTTGTTTTGCGTAGTTTTCACTCGAGTCCGTCAAACCCGAAGTTATTTTGAATTTGCCGCCGATCTACGACACATACGATCACGTGGTTTTTTGCAAGAGATCACGTGTTTGAGAGTCGTTGTTTTGGAAGTGTCTCGAACGAGAAGTCATTGAATATTGTATTGATTATTTACGATTTTTAGTGAAAATCTAGGTCATTGTGGGCATTTTTAGAAAGATAATTCATATTACCTCCGTATTTTCATGGGCATTTTTATATTTTTTGCCTATAAAGAAGTTCCTTGCAAGTAATTTTTTTGCTGTTTCATGAAGGCGCGCGACCTGTAAATACGGACGCGTGGTCTTTGAGATGACCTGGTGTTTGACAGTTCTGACTTGTTCAGGTCAGAAAATGTTGTTATGATAATGAATTGTTATTTTCGGGAGATAACTCGTGTTGTCTTAAACAATATTTACATTATTAACCAGTCAGTGCAATTTAAAAAGTAAAATTATTGCTTCGAGCTGAACATCGTCACGTGATTTTTCTATTTTTAAACTCAATCACGAATTGATTTTTAAAGGCAGTGCTTTAATGCCTTTCTAGTTGCCGGGTTAATCCTTCCTTCCGCGATATCCAACTTATCTACGTGGGGGGTCGTTAGGCTCCAAGTAGATCCGGAAATGTTGAAATCTCTCCTCTTCTTATTGTGATATAAAATGTTTTTTGTTTCATTTCATTTACATTGGGAAATAGAGAAACGATCATTGTGTTTTGTTAGTTTTAAAAAATTTTGATATATTTGTATTTTGCATTATAAGCAGTCAACCGATTGACAAACTAGAATTATATGAATTCCGTGAGGAAAGAGCTCGGGTTAATTTCGAGTGTTATCTGCAATCTATATGTTTATAAATCATTTCAGTCGTTGATATAATAATTAAAGGTCGACTGAACATGAATTATATTATACAATTTAAAGCGCATTTCTGTTTATGCACGTGAACCCGTCTAACGTTATTGTTATTTCGCAGTTATATAAAGTAGCAAATTATCGTTCCTGAATAGGTGGCGCCGTGGTAGCCGATCCTGTTCCTCAACTTCCGGTTTCTGCACTGTGCAACTATTTTCAGTTACATTTTTAATTAACGATGCCAAGTACTTGTTGTTGTGTACCTGGATGTCATTTAAGAGGAGGACATGCATTTCCAAATGACTTAAAAAGAAGGAAAAGTTGGATCAACGCCATGGCCCATACGCAGATTGGACGAGAACACGATGAAATCGTGGAGTCCATCTCAATCAGCTGTTGTTTGCAAGGCACATTTTACTGAAAAAGACTACGTGCAGGAAACTATTCATGGTAAAACTCTATTTTCTTTTTGAAATATATAGTTATATATGTAATCGCCATGCGAATTAACCAAAGTCTGTTTACAACCGCAATTATCGTTTTAGAATAAACATATCCAACTATCGCGGTCATCACGTGACTTTTACAATTCAGTTGTATATCATTAATGGCCGATTGATTATCAATGAAAATGAACGGGCTACATAGATTAAACGATCATAACTTTTTTGTTACATTGTGTATTTTACCTTCCAACCCCACGTTTTATAGTATTTTCATTTTTACAATTAAAAATGTTTTAAGTTTCAGTTCAGAAATATGATTTCTTGCTTCAAATTAAGTTTGAAAATGGAGGTGACATAACCACACAGCCTCTGTTGACTTCTTCGTTAAAACTCAATAAAATTGCAATGGGACCTTCTTATATGATCAATTTTCTCAACTTATTATTTGTTAATAATATCCTTCCAACCCCTAAAAAGATCGACAACACATTCATCTAAATGAAATCGAAACCCAAATCAGTTAAGGTAACAAACTTTTTGCTTCAAAATTTGATTGAAAAGTTTACATTTTGGCATTCGTTAATAATATTTTGAAAATGGCGGTCGATGTCGGAAGTGAACAAAATCACGACATGTATTCATTTAGTAATTAATTAGAAAGTAATTTGTGAAATATTTATTAAAGTATGTCTTATTGTTTTTAGAAATTTCTTATTTCACCTTTAATTTGATATATTTATTAGAAACAGTCTCTCGCACTCAAAACAAAGATTTATATGCATCAACCATGCATTGTTTACATTGACCATGTTGACAGCGTAGGTCGACTTGTGAAAATATATATTGTAATATTTTTACGATGAAAATCAAAAAACTGTTGGATGCATGCGTTTTCAGTTTTTGTCTTACCTTAAAGCAGCATAGAATCAAATATTTTGTCTTTTTGATAAAGTGGATACATGCTTTTGGTTTGATAAAATTTCGAAGTTACGAAAAAAAATGGCGACCAAACAATTTTCAAACGTAGACGATGTTCGACACTAATTTTGCCCATGCAAATAACACAATTTGATTTCACTGTTTATATTGCAATTAAATATGACACGTTATTGTCTCTCTAATAATACCCAAGGACATAGCTTGATTAAGGAGATATTAAGTCATCAACGTGATCAAAGAAAACAAACATGGCACCTAATCACGATGTAAGATCATGTAAGTTTTGACAAGACTTATGTAGATTAGTATGGTCCGATTCTTATAGAAATTATTTTATGGTATTATTTTATATTAATAAAAAAAACCTCGAAACCCCGAGGTGAAATATCTATATTTTTCAATTTTCTAAATCATTCATCACACGGGTTACCAGTAAATTTTTCATAATCCTAATTAAACCAGTAACATGCAGAGTTATCGAACGTAATTATGACTGGTATAGTTGCATATGAGGGGGTGGTTAATTCAAGACGTCATAATTTTTTGGATTACGATTCAATGTGATCTGTTTGAGATTTTTTGGTGATTGCTACAATTATAACGATTTCTTACAAGAGGTATATCATACTGAGAATTATTTTAGCAGTAATTATGCTAATGTAGTAATGACAGGAATGCATAAGCTATGCCTCATAGACTTTCTTGAAAAATATCAATGACAATGTTAACAGGAACAAAACAATGACATGCTCTCATCTATATTATAGTTATTTAGGTACAAACAATGTACGTTTGTTGCATAAGTCTCTCATTGTTTGTCCTTTAGATTTACATAACATACATTGAATCAGGCAAACATAGTTTTGTCCAGATTGTAATGAATAAATCTAGTTATTATTTCGCCAGGTAATACAAAGTATACATTGCTAATGGAAGTTCATTTAATTATCAAAAAACTAATGTTTTATAACCTTTTTCAGGGCGCAGTCCCACCATTCAGAGACTTAAGTCTACTGCCATTCCCAGCCTATTTTCCTGGACCAAGCAAGAGACTGAATCGTCCGAAAAAAGAAAAATCAGGGCAGTTTCCTGTGAAAACAAAAGAACTAAACTTGATGAATATTGTAGTAGAAATCTAGAGGAAAGTTTTGATTGTAAAGTTGGTTTTCCTGAAGAAGTCATTCATACTGCAGAAAGGATTTATGACTGTCCACCACCAACTGCCGAGCTAATGTTGAGCTTCACAGATGGAATTATGCAAACACCATCAATGCCTATGTTTTCAGCAGAGAATTTTGAAATGAAGACACGTGACACAGCCATGCATTTTTATACCGGTTTAGAGTTGTATACTAAATTTTTATTTGTTTTGACCACACTTGGTCCAGCAGCACATTGTTTGAGATACATATATTTTCAAATTGATAGGGTGTCAGTTGAAAATCAGTTTTTTTATGACTTTGATGAAATTGAGGCATTATACAACCAACTTTGAACTTTCTAGATTCTAGATTGAATCTAGTGTTAAGAATATTGTGTATACATGGATTGTTTTTATGTCTAAACAGTGGTGTGAGGCTAACACTTGGCCATCTAGTGGTTTAGTCAGGTATTTTTCACCATCCAACTTCAAATTAAAGTTTCCTACGACTTGGATTATTATTGACAGCACAGAATATCCCGTGATAAAACCTAAAGCTCCTAGAGCTCAGGCAACCTTTTCATCATATAAAAACAGAAACACTGAAAATACTTGTATGTTCGACACCTGGTGGTTTAGTCAACTATGTCTCTAATGCATATGTTGGTTCTACCAGTGACTATGAAATAGTTGAAAGATGTAGAATAGTTCAATTATGTGATCCAGGTGACAGTGTGATGGCAGACAAAGGTTTAAATGTGCAAGATTTGTTTGCTAACTTTTTTCAAAAAAAGAAACAGAATTAGTTCCAAAACTCTTATACGGGATAGAAAAGTCTCCAATTACATTTTGTAACATGTGCACATAGAGCGAATTATTGGACTTGGCAAAACATACAAAATTCTAATAAATCCTATGAATGGAACTGAAACAAAACTTTCATCTGAAATAACATTTAGTTGTACTATGTTGTGTAATTTTAGAACTTGTATTGTGCCAAAGGATGCATAAATAAAAGTGACACAATGAATTTTGTTCTGATATATATATATATTTACATGCACATGTAAATTGTAATGCATATAAAATAAGGAGATGTGGTATGATATTCAGTGAGTTTATCGAACTAAAGTGCATAAGAAATGGGTTTAAGCAGTTACAGGTGTTACTGTCACCGTACAATCTCCAACAATGAGAAAAACTTGTACCGTGTAAAACATTTCAGAGATCTTACCACTAAGTTTTGTTGTCTCACCTTGACTTTGGTGAATTGTTTATATCTGTTGATGTAAATATAAAAAAGAAGATGTGGTATGATTGCCAATGAGACAACTCTCCACAAGAGACCAAATGACA